AGTGTGTTACAAGTAATGGGAAATGTTCTGGCACATGGAAAGACCTAAGAGGAAGGAACTCTTTGAACTGACATCAGGCAATGAAGCGTGGCCCAGGAACATACAGGGGGAGGCGAGCTGGACTTGCTCAGAGTCAGGATTTCTTTCCACGTACAATGGGAGCCACTTAAGGATTTGAGCTTTCAAACCAAGTCTTTAGGTTTCTTCTGTTATTTTATATCTATCTTACATTATACTATTTTATACACACATATACATTTTAAAATATATAAATACATAAAATCTTGTTGGATTGCTGCAAGTCAGGGTATATTAAATATAACAGCACACTAGTAAAAATAATTAAAAGGCAAAAACCTGTTAAAAATTTTTTTGACCAATGCAAAAAGGTAAATGAATCTTTCACTTAAAAATAAATTTTAAGGGGCATCTGAATGGCTCAGTAGGTTAAGCATCGACTTTGGCTCAGGTCATGATCTCACGGCTCATGAGTTCAAGGTCCGCGTCAGGCTCTGTGCTGACAGCTCAGAGCCTGGAGCCTGCTTAAGGTTCTGTGTCTCCCTCTCTCTCTGCCTCTCCCCTGCTTGCGCTCTATCTCTCTCTCTCTAAAAAAAATTAAAAAACGTTAAAACTAGTAAATATATATATGCGCCCCAATGTTCACTGCAGCATTATTTACAATAGCCAGCATATGGAAACAACCTAAACATCTATTGATGGATGAATGGGTAACAGAAAATGCAATAAGTACGTGTTCATGTATATATGTATGTATATGTAGTTTTTTATATACAACTGAATTCTATTCAGCCATAAAAAAGAATGTAATTTTGTCATTTGTGACAATATGGACAGACCTTGAAAGTAGTATGCTAAGTGAAATAACTCAGGCAAAGACAAATACTATATGATCTCACTTATGGAATCTTAAAAAAAAAAACAAAGCAAAGCAAAGCAAAACACACACATAGACACACACAAATCAAGCTCAATGGATAGAGAGCACAGACTGGTGGTTGCCCAAAGGAGGCAGGGGTGGGCAACAGAGGTGAAAGGTACAAACTCCCACTTGTAAAATAAATCATGAGGATGTCATATACAGCATGGTGACTATAGTTAACTGAACTGCATACTAGAAAGTTGCTAAGAAAGGAAATCTTAAAAGTTTTCAACACAAGAAAAGAATTTCTAACCATGTATGGTGATCATTTCACAATCTATATCAAATCATTATGTTGTATGCCTGAAGCTAATATGATATGATAGGCCAAAAAGAAAACTACACATGGACACATCCTTGGTCCTAACAATCCTACTTTGAGGAACTGATCCTACAGAAGTATTTTCACAGGTACTAAATTAACAGGTAAAAAGTTATGCATTGCAGCATCCACGGGGCATCAAGAGAAAGAAGGAGCAGTTTCTACATGGAACTACATCCAAAAGATGTTAAGAAAAAAAAGTTGTAGAACAGTCTGGATAGAATGTCTACATGAATGAAAAATATGCTGTACATTATTTACACATGTGCTTGTGGTACATACATAGAGTGTGTCCGTGAAAGAACAAAGAGCAATACGTAACAGTGGTTACCTCATGGGAGAGAGCTGGGTGACTTGCAGAAGAGGAGCAGGGAGATATATGGTCTACTCTGTACTGTGTGTGGTGTGGTGTGATTTTGTTACAGCAATGAGTACCTGAGAGGGGCCAGGAGAGCCACAGTGAGAAAGGAGATGTCAGATGGTTGTGGGCACAAAAAGGACAGAGAACAAGTACTGGCGTTCCAGAAGGGAGGTGTAGGAATAAAGAGCTGGTAGAAGAGAGAAGTAGGGAAGGGGGTGCTGTAAGGGACCAAGTAAAGATTCCAAACTCTTAAAAATATATATGAACAGAGGTGCCTGGGTGGCTCAGTTGGTTAAGTGTTTGACTTTGGCTCAGGTCATGATTTTATGGTCCGTGAGTTCCACCACTGTGTTGGGCTCTGTGCTAACAAGTCAGAGCCTGCTTCAGATTCTGTGTCTCCCCCTCTCTGTCCTTCCCCCACTCATGCTGTCTCTCTCTCTCAAAAAATAAATAAACATTAAAATTATAAGGAAATCTGCAAACCACTGGCCTGGAAAGACTGCATTATGATGAAAACCTGGGTTTTCATTGGATGGGTTTGATAATGTCTCATTCTCAGATAAATGGGTGCTCTCCTACGGCTCTTCATACTTCCCTATCTCCTTCCGCAGTCCCTATCCTAGACCTCTGTATCCTTGAAACAACAGCTTCAACTCTAGCCACAAGGCTACCTGCCCCGCTCTGAGGACTGCCACCCTTCCCACTTGGCCCCACAGCCCCTCTGCAGCCATTAGGATAATAGGATACTGACAGACACAAGTCTATGTTCCAGATCACCCTCTGCTGGCCTGCATAACTAGGTATGTTGGTCACATTATTAAAAATAGTAACATAAATTCTGGAATCAGAGAAAACAGCTATAAAGGACTTAACTGAGATAACTGGATGACATTTTAAAATATAACCTATGGATTAGATAATGGTATGTTGCAATAATAAACTCCCTGATTTTGATAGCTGTATTGTGATTATGGAAGAAAACGTCATTGTTCTTAGGAAATACATACTGAAGTATAAAGGGCAAAGAGATGTGTTATTTCTATTCTCAAATGATTCAGAAAAAAAAATATATAAATTCATTCAGAATGTTAGAGCTAACAACTGGTGAATTTGGGTACATATACAGAATTTCCATGTACTATTTTCTGTGTTTGGAATTATATAAAAATTAAACTAAGAAAAATTGTACTCATTTGCGAACACTGATATTTGTTTCCTATAAGTTTGCAAGCATTATCTCACTTAATCCTTTTAAAATCCCATTCAATAGGTACTATTATTGTTGTCATTTTATAGCTACAGAGGTTCTAAAAACTTTTTTCAGAATCACACAGCTGAGATTCTATCCAGACACAAAGCTCCTAAATGTGACCTACGTCTACCACCCTTCCTGTATAACCTTTCCCTCCTAACCTCTTCACATTTGGGTTCCAAGCATTGTTATTGTTATGAAAACATCATAGCACTTATTCTCTTCCCAGGCCTCAGAGCATCGGAAATTCATCACTGACATCAGAGCTAGAAATGAAAACTTTATCAATATCATCACCACCAACTTCAACTCATCCTATAACCTTAGTTTTCCTTAAAAAGCAACAACAACAAAACAAAAACCAACCAAACAACAACAAAAAACCCTTGGGGCGCCTGGGTGGCTTAGTCGGTTAAGCGCCCGACTTTCGCTTAGGTCATGATCTCGCGGTTCGTGGGTTCGTGCCCCGCGTCGGGCTCTGTGCTAACTGCCAGCTCAGAGCCTGGAGCCTATTTCAGTCTGTGACTCCCTCTCTCTCTGACCCTCCCCTGCTCACGCTCCCTCTCTCTCTCTTTCTCTCTCTTCTAGAAATAAATAAAACATTAAAAAAAAAAAAAAACACCCTAAACCTTGAAATAGTTCAGTTGCACTTGTCCATTTTATTGACAGTTCACAATGAAAAGATTTTCAAGTATATTTACTATAGGTAGAACTCATGCCAAAGAGCTATCTTCCCCAGAGACTAAAAGCTCAACACTAAGCATCTATTCTACAAGACTTCTGTTCAAGGGCCCTTGCTACAATCCAGCCAGGACAGCAGTGGCACCATGGGCTGAGGACCAGGGCATTGGATTAGCCCCACTGTATGGAATGGGATGCTAGAATGGCCCTTGGGAAAAGAGAGATTCTTCTCAGACCAATACAGAGGAAATGTGCACTCTCTCAGTACATAGAGTAGCTACGGACAGTCTCCTGGGGAACTTTCTGTGTTCTCATCTGCCCTTAGGTGGTTATTAAGCCCATGATGTACAGGCTGTGGTTAAATCCAAGTAGCTCCTTTCCCAGTTGACGGAATTATGTAAGCAGAATTCTAATACTTACTACATAAAACTATAAAGGACCCATTTCAAGTCACAATGACCAAAACAAAAGAGAAAAAATAATTCAGCTGTAAAGTTCCTAATTCTGAGGAATAGTAAAACCTCTATAATGTTGGGCCCACTACTTCTGAATTTCCAAACACTCAGATATGTGTTTCCTACTGGTGTGAAGTTAAAATGACTTACATGAGCTTCAGTGTTTATGACAAAAATATACAACACAGACATAATGGGAATATAATCTTTAGCTTCTTTCATTTTACTTATTAGAACTCTTCGACGATTACTTTTTAAGAGATAGCTCATAAAATCACTTGTAAGAGTGTATAAACATTATAGAAATTATCTAGTTATGATATCATATTGTTCATTTACACCAAGCTTGGAATAAACTGTAAACTGAAAGCAACCATTTTACTCATTCACTCAAATTACCTGTCTGCCCTGATAGTCTCTCAAATTCGTATTATGTAATTAATGTTTTTTCTGCCATTCATCTTTGTTCATGTTTTTTGGTTTGGTCTTGTGTTCAGCTTGCTGAGGTAACTATGAGTCTTTAATCTGTGTCATCAATATATCTATTCCTTCCTCTTGGCTTGTTGATCAAGATTTCAATACACATCTCTTCCCTTTGTTCAATGGGCCAGAGGCAGCTTCAGAGTCCTGGGGAAGACTAAACTTCCCATAAATGCATATCAATTAGTTAATAATAACACTAGTAATAATGGTTATAGTAATAGATAATTAGTACATACTGAACATTAGGATGTGCCAATCACTGTTCTAAGCACTTTATAAGCAATATCTCATTGACTGATTCCTCACAATAACCTTATGAGTAAGTACTACTATCACATACATTTTCTAAATGAAAAAAGTAAGGCACTGAAAAGTTAACTTTCAAGGTCAAAATAGCTAAAAAGTGGGGTGCTGAACTTGACTTCCACTCCTTAGTGATATAGGAAGGCAGGTTTGTTCTAGAAAGGATTCAGAAGGCTGGAACCAAGTGGGATTGGTGCAAGTACCTGAATGCGCTGAGGTGAGGCTACCGCAGAGTCGGTGGAGATTATCTGGATGCGTGGGGAGGGGCTGGTCATCCCTGGAGATTCCGGCCGAGAGGTCTGTGTCCGTGGTACCTGTGTGCAAAAAGTGGGCTGGATCACAATGGGGCTTACAAAAATATCCAGTAGCAGCTGAAGACCATCTTCTTGCTTTCACTGTGGCTTTGAGTAATACACTTGAGTAATTCTGGTATTTGGACCCGGAATGACACAGAAACCAAAGAAATATTGCCACGGGATGGCCATAAGAAAATACAATCTTAAAAGAGCTATTTCTTTTTTTTTTTTCAAATGTTTTATTTACTTCTGAGAGAGAGAGAGAGAGAGAGAGAGAGGGAGAGAGAGAGATAGACAGCGTGAGCAGGGGAGGGTCAGAGAGAGAGGGAGATACAGACTCTGAAGCAGGCTCCAGGCTCTGAGCTAGCAGTCAGCATAGAGACCGACGCGGGGCTCGAACCCACGAACCCTGAGATCATGACCTGAGCCGAAGTCAGACGCTTAACCTACTGAGCCACCCAGATGCCCCTTAAAAGAGCTATTTCTAATATGGAAAATGCAAAAACCAACCAACCAACCAACCGCTCCTCAAATAAGACTACCCTCCCCACAAAAACACAGGCATTTTCAAATATGCTCATACAACTTTCATAAAATAAAAAGCTACTAAAGTAACTTTTTAGAAGTATTTGAATGTTCTCACTGTCTCCAAAACCAGCTGTAAAACACTCCTTTAAGATGACAGTTTCCAGAAGAAAGGCTCTTGCAAACACCATAGAGGATAGTAAAAAACCCAGCAGTACATTGAAAACTACTGGGATTAGTACTTGTGAAAGAGTCCTGGCACCTCCCAGCCCCCTGGGATGGGGCTGGGAAAAGCCCATCAGTTATACAAAGGTCTGGATTTAGTCAATATTCACCGAAAGGCAACATTCAAGGTTCTGAGTCAGTCACCTGGGCACCTGAAGTGGGCAGATATTTTTCCTTGAATAAAAGTACATCATGAACCAATGCTTTACAAACTCTTCCAAAAAACAGAAGAGGGAACACTCCTCAAATTCATTCTATGTCCAAAACTAGGCAAAGACATCACAAGAAAAGAAAACTACAGGCCAAAATTCCTTATGAATATAGATTTAACAATCCTCAACAAAATACTAGCAAACTGAATCCAGAGGCATATAAAAAATAATATACCATGACTAAGTCGGATTTACCCCAGAAATGCATTGTTGGCTCACCATATGAATTAAACAATGTAATACACTATATTAACAGAGGACAAACACAGAAAAACCTCCGACAAAATGCAAATCCAACGCCATTTCATAATGGAAACACTCAACAAACTAGAAACAGAAACTAAGTTCTCAATTTAATAAAGACTATCTATAAAATACTCACAGCTAACAACACTTAAGGTGAAAGACTGACAGCTTTCTTCCTCAGATCAAGAACTAGACAAACATGTCTCTTTTGCCACGTATACTCAACACTGTACTGCAGTTTCTAGACAGAGCAATTAGGGAAGAAAAAGAAAGAAAAGGATTCAGACTTGGAAGCAAAGAAGGAATACTATTTCTATTTACAGAGAATATGATCATGATATGACATGATCATAGAGAAAACCCTAAAAAAAAAAAATTATTATTAGAGCTAGTAAATGAGTCCCAAGGTTGGAAGACAGAAGATCAACATACAAAAATCAACTGTATTTCTATACATCAGCAAGGCACAACCAGAAAATGAAATTAAGGAAGTATTCCCATCTCTGGAGCAATAAAAATAGGAATAAATACATCAAAAGAAGTGTAACACTTATACACTGAAAACTACACAACATCATTGGAAAAAATTAAAGAAGGCCTAAATAAATAAGAAGACATCTGTGTTCATGGTTCAGGAAATTAATATTGTTAAGCTCTTAATATTACCCAAATTGATCTACAGATTCAGCATAATTCTTATCACAACTCCAGCTGCCTTTACTGAATAAATTAACATGCTGATCCCTAAATTTTATATGAAAATCCAAGGCAATCAGAATAGCCCAAACAATCTTCAATTGTTTTGGGGTGCCTGCCTGACTCAATTGGTAGAGCATGCAACCTCTGTTCTTGGGGTTGTGAATTTGAACCCCACACTGGCTGTAGAGATTACTTGAAGAAAAAAAAAAGCTGTTAAAAAACCCAACAAAACAATCATTAATTTTTTTGAGTTGGTGGACTTATACTTCTTGATATCAAAACCTATCACAAAGCTACAATAACCAAAACAGTGTGGCACTGGCATAAGAACAGATATTTAGACCAATAAAATGGAATAAAGATCCCAGAAATAAACCCTCACATATATGGTTGGATGATTTTCACAAAAGTGCCATGACGACTCAATGGGGAAAAGAGAGTCTTTTCTTGGTGATGGTGATGAAGCAACTGGACACAACATACTACATGAAAGAAACTGCACCCTCCCTCATATTATCCAAGCATATATTAACTCGAGAGGGGAAGGACGCTGGGAGAAGATGGCAGAGTGGGAAGCACCAAGAATCCGTCTCCCCAACAAACCTTAACTGTACAGGTAGAATCTGACTGAATACAACTATTTTGGAACTCTGGAATCTACTGGATATTGAAGGCTTGCACCTTCCAGGGGAAGGCTTGGACAATAATGTATAGTTAGTTTCTGTCGATTTCGGCTCTAGCACAGTAGCGGTTGCCCATCCTCCACCTCTACTCTGAAGCTGGCAGCTGTGCCCATGTTCCTGAAACAGCTTGCGGGAGCCCAGGTGGGTAAAAGGATCCTTCTCCTCCACAAATACGTGGAATGTGTGCTCCAGCTGCTGATTGCTACCTCTGCTCACAGAGATGCAGATAAAGAGACAGCCATTGTTGCTATACTTCCCCCTATTGCGGCAAGCCCCTCTATTTCTATCATGAGTGACTTCCAGGGGCCTTTTTAAAGGCCTGGATTATTTCTCCCCACTCCTCTATTTTTCCTCTTTTGAGACCCAAACATTAAAGACAAGGACATTCAAGAACAAATGTAATACAGAGAAAATTAGACAGTGACTGCACACACCAAGGGAAAGGCACAGGTCTGAGAAAAGACCTCAGAAGACTTTAAATTTATATGTCAGGATGATCCTCAGCACAGAGACAGCCTAAACATTAAAAAACAAAAATAGGGACGCCTGGGTGGCTTAGTCGGTTAAGCGTCCGACTTTCACTTAGGTCATGATCTCGCGGTTCGTGGGTTCGAGCCCCCCCCGTCGGGCTCTGTGCTGACTGCCAGCTCGGAGCCTGGAGCCTGTTTCAGTCTGTGACTCCCTCTCTTCTGACCCTCCCCTGCTCACGCTGTCTCTCTCTCTTTCTCCTAGAAAAAAAAAAATTTAAAAAAATTAAAAAAAAAAAATGTTACAAGAGAAAAAGGACACTATATATTAACAAAAGGTTTGATGTAGCAAGAATATATAATCACATTTACACATCTAATAACAGACCACAAAACTATGTGAAGCAAAAACTACAGAATTTAAGGGAGAAAAATTCTGTAATAATAGTTGGAGACCTCGGGGTGCCTATGTGGCTTGGTCAGTTAAGTATTTGACTTCAGTTCAGGTCAGGTCATGCATGACCTCGTGGTTTGCAAGTTTGAGCCTCACACTGGGCTCCACGCTGACAGTGATTCTCTCTCTCTTCCTCCCCTCTCCTTGCCCCTAGCCCACTTAAGACTCTTTCTGTCCTAAAATAATAAACTTTATAAAAAAAATAGGTGGAGATTCAATAACCCAATCTCAATAACGGATAGAAGAAATAGACATAGTATATGCAAGGAAATAGAGAACTTAATACAACCAACCAACCATACACTATACAGAACACTTTACCCAGAAACAACAAATACCCAGAAAAATTTCTCAAGTACACATGGGACATTCTCTAGGACAGACCATGTGAGGTCACAAGTTAAGCTTCAACAGATTTTAAAAGACAGATAACATACAAGGAAGGCATCTTCTCTGACCATAGGGGAATAAAGTTAGATATCATCAACAGAGTGAACCAGGAAATGTCCAAAACATGTGGAAATTAAACAACACATTCTTGGTGTTGGATCAAAGAGGAAATTATAAGGGAAATTAGGAAAAGCCAACATATGGATGAAAATGAACAAAAAACTTCTAGGACAATGTGAAAGCAGTGTTAAAGGATAAATTTATGAACTATAAATGTTTTGATTACAAAACAAGAAAGATCACAAATGAACAACCCAACTTTTAAAGCTTACAGAACTAGAAAAAGAATAAAATGAACCCAAACTAGCTGAAGAGAGGAAATAATAAAGACTATCACAGAGATAAAAGAAACAGAGAAAAAAATAGCAAAAAATAAGTTAAAACAAAAACTGGTTCTTTGAAAAGATCAACAAAATTGACTAATCTGTAGCTAGATGGACCAAAGGAAAAAAAAAGAGAGAAAAAACTCCAATTACTAAAATCAGAAATGAAAGTGAGGATATTACTATCAATTCTATAGAACCATTAAGTATTATAAGAGAATATTGTGAACAACTGTATGCCAACAAAATTGTTGGCATGAGATGGACAATTGCCTAGACACACAAAACCTACCATGACTAAATCACCAAAAAATATAAATTATGAACAGATCTATAACTAGAAAGGAGACTGAACCATTATTAAAAATTTCCCCAGAAAGAAAATCCCTAGACCTGATGGCTTCACTGGTGATTTCTGCCAAACCTTTAAAGAAAAACTAGCATTAAATCTTCTCAAATTTTCCCCAAACACTGAACAGGAAGGCTTCCTAACTCCTTCTGTGAGGCTAGCATTACCCTGATACCAAGCCAGACAAAGACACTACAAGAAAACTAAGGACCACTGTCTCTTATGAACTGATATAAAAATCTTCAACACAATACTAGCAAACAGAACTCAGCAGCATACAAAAAGGATTAAACGCTGTGACATAAAGGGGGATTTATTCCTGTAACACAAGGTTCAAAATACAAAATCAATGTGACATACCATTATTAATAGAATTAAAGGGGGA